TCAATCTAGTTGTGAAGGGCGCAACTCAGTGGCCCATGTGGGGATTGAAAAGCAACCTTGGTGTTATGAGCACTGTGCTCTAACCAACGGAGCTAAGTGGCTGACACTTGAATTTTTTTTTTTTTAACAAAAAATTTTAACTGATTTATCTAGTGTATAAGCTCTAGGAGGATACAATGATCATCTGCTGCCTTTTAGTTTGGCTCACTGATTAAACTAAAAGAATACTTAGCTACCAAGAATATAGACTATTTCCAGAATTTTGAAGATGAGTTTATGAATCCCAGGGCCATCATGAAATTTCTTACTTTATGGTAAAGCCCTGGGCAATTTTAGATCTACTAGACTTCTGTAAAAGAACATACAACTTGGGGATTTTATCTGTTTTTACTGCTATATTGCTAAGACTCAAAAGGCTCCTGACACAATATTTGTTGAATGAATGAAACAAAACTGCCGAAATAAAGCCTGATAACAATTATCAGTAAATTAAATCTGGAGCTAGAATTGAAATGTGCTCTTTAATACTTGAGAATGGTTGTTAATACCCTCATTTTCATTGACTAGATCAAATTTAATTGATAACTAGCATTAAACTTATAACTGTTAAATACAGAAGTAAAAGTTCACTGGTGTTCTGACTGCTTTTTCTTTTTAATCATGAGAAAAGTTAATAGAATTATATAGAATCTCCCTTATATCTTCATCCATATCCCCCAGTTGTTAATACTGGCTTTATCTTTTTTCACTATGTACAATTTTCTGGCCTACTTGAAAGTAAATAGTGGGTTTTTTTGTTTTGTTTTTTAAAGATTTTATTGGGGAATTGGGGGGGGAACAACATTGGGGAATCGGGGAAGGGGAACACACAAGTTGCTGTCCTTTTGTTCTTCAGTCTAGTTATGGAGGATGTCTCTTTACTGGTCCATGTTGGTATTGTGATCATTGCGCTCTTCTCGGCTGAGGCAGATCAGTCGTCGGCCATTGGACGGCCACTCACGGTGGCTCACGGCAGCCCACTGCAGCCCCACTGCAGCCTACACAGTCTCTGGCAACTCACGGCAGCCCAGCTCCAGGTCGAGCTGTTGTTTGCCATCTTAGCTGTAGAGGGCGCAGCGTCACTGGCCCATGTGGGATCCGAACCAGTGGTCCTGCTGCTCAAAGCTCACGCTCCCAAGCCAGCTGTTAACCAACAAGCTACTCAGCTGGCCTAATAGTGTTTTTTAAAAGCTACACATTTACCACTATTATTATGCACACACAAAAATAATATGGCCCACAAATAAAGATCATTTGTTCGTGTGTCCTGTTATTGAATGAATTAACATATTCCCACACCCCACTATAACAATGAAACTCTTCATATGTTTCTACCAAGACAAGGCATACTGCTCTTTTTTTTTTTTTTTTAATAGGGGAACTGTGTTTTTCTAATACCCATCAACTCCAATTCAAGTAGTTGTTTTAATCTAGTTGTGGAGGGCGCATCTCAGTGGCCCATGTAAGGATTTAACCAGCAACAAAGAATGTGCATACATTCTCAGCTGATATAATCACTATCCCCCAACCCAGTTATGTAGCCGACCATAAAACTGTATATGGACTCTTATTCTAATTATTATTTTAAAGTTATAAGGGTTTTTGGGATTATCTTTAAAAGTTAAGAGTCGAAGTCTACTCTCTTTCCATTATATCTTGTTTCTGATCTTACTAGATACTAATGCTTGGTCTTCTATAGCTGGCAGAATGAAGGCATGATTGAAGGGTAAAATGGGAGGGAGCAGTGCTGGCACTCAGTGGAAAGTTTTACTGCTTTGGTGTTTGTTTGAATGAAACCAGGCAAGTGTGAAGTATGTAACTAGAATGGCGCTCTGCAGTTTACCCTGACAACTCTCCTCAGTATATTTTTTCTTCTCAGTGAGATTGGGTATTGAGCAGAAAAACTAAACCAGAAATCTGGAGAACCAAAAATTTGGAATATATATGATAAAGAATGAATAGCCATAAAGAATTTAAAAGAAAAACAATCTTATAAATGAGCAAGGATATGGGAAAAAGTCACAACAGATAACTAAAAATTTTATTGTAGTTTTGTTTTTATATATGTGTATCTTAAAATTTGCTGTTTTATTATTATTTTTTTTATCCTGTTGCTCAGAGCTTGTACTCTTGAGCAAGCTCTTAACCAGCTGAGCCACTTGGCCAGCCCTGTTTTAATCATTTTTAAGTGTATAGTTCAGTGACATTAAGTACATTCACACTGATGTGCAGCCATTACTACTGTCATCTCCAGAACTTTTTTATCTCCCCAAACTGAAACTCTGTCCCCATTGAACAATAACTCCCCATTTCCTCCTTCCCTTAACCCCTGGCAGCCATGATTCTGATTTCTGTTTCTATGAATTTAGCTATTAGAGGTACTTCATATAACTGGACTCATAAAACATTTGTTGTTCTGTGACTGGCTTATTTCACCTAACATAATGTCTTTTTTTTTTTTAAGATTTTTATTGGGGAATTGGGGGATGGGAACAGCACTGGGGAATTGGGAGAAGGGGAACAGACAAGTTGCTGTCCTTTTGTTCTTCAGTCTAGTTGTGGAGGACGTTGCTTCACTGGCCCAAGTTGGCACCATTATTGCGCTCTTCTTGGGCGAGCAGATCAGTTGCCGGCTTCTGGACGGCCGCTCACGCTGGCTGCTGGCTGCTCATGCTTGCTGCTGGCTATACACAGTAGCCCATGGCAACCCACTGCAGAAGTGGCTGCAGTCTACGCCGTCACTGGAGACTCACAGCAGCCCAGCTTCAGGTTGAGCTGTTGTTCAGCATCTTAGCTGTAGAGGGCAGTGTCACTGGCACTCATGTGGGATCTGAACCGGGGCCCTCTGGTGTCCCAAGCCAGCTCTTAACCATCGCGCCACTCGGCCGGCCCAACATAATGTCTTTAAGGTTCATCCATGTTGTAGCATGTTTCAGAATTTTTTCCCTTTGAAGGCTGAACAATATCCATTGTATGATTCTACCACATTTTGTTTATTCATTCATCTATTGATGGACACTTGGGTGGTTTCTACTTTTTGGCTGTTGTGAATAGTGCTGCACTGAACATGAGTGTACAGGTATCCGAGTCCCTGCTTTCAATTCTTTGAGGTACATACCCAGCAGTGGAATTGCTGGATAATGAGGGTAATTCTGTTTTAACTTTTTGAGGAACTGCCAAACTTTTCCACAGGAGCTATACCATTTTACATTCCCACCACTAATGTAAGGAGGTTCTAATGTCTCCACATCCTCACCAACACTTATTACTTTCCATATTTTTGTAGATGACTATAGTCATCTACTTCGTGTGAGATAATATCATGGTTTTGATTTTCATTTCCCTAAAGACTAATGGTGTTGAGCATCTTCTCATGGACTTATTGGCCATTTGTATGCCTTTGGAGAAATGTCCATTCAAGGCCTTTATCCATTTTTAAGTAGGGTTTTTTTTTTTGGTCTTTTTTTAAGTTGTAGGAGTTGTTTATATATTCTGGATATTAATTTCTTATCAGATGCGATTGGCAAATATTTTCTCCTATGGGTTCCCTTTTCACTCTGTTGATAATGTCCTTGCTGCACAAAAGTTTAAGTCTTTATGCCTATTTTCAGTTTGTGCTCTTGATGTTATATCTTAGAATCTATTGTCAAATCCAAGGTCCTGAAGATTAACACCTATGTTTTCTTCTGAGAATTTTGTGGTTTTAACTTTTTCAAAAATTAAACTTACTGTGGTAACATCGGTTAATAACATATTGTTTCAGGTATACAGTTTTATAATATATTTACTGTATATTGCATTATATTGCATTGTGTGCTCATCACCCAAGTCTTGTCTCCTTCTGTCATCATATATTTGACCCTGTTTACCCTCTTCTTTCTCCTCCCACTCCCGTTCCCCTCTGGTAACCACCATACTATTGTCTGTGTCTTTGATTGTGTCTTTGAGTTTGTTCATTTGTTGTTTTCTGTATTATATGCTGTATATGAGTAAAATCATATGGTTCTTGTCCTTTTCTGTCTGACTTCGCTTAGCATGATACTCTCAACATCCATCCATGTTGTCATAAATGGTAGTATTTCATATTTTCTTATGGCTGAGTACTATTCCATTGTATATATGTACCACATCTTCTTTATCCCATCATCTATCAAAAGACACTTAAGTTGTTTCCATGCCTTGGCCACCAAGAATAATGCTGTAAAGAACATAGGGATCCATGTATCTTTTCAAGTTAGTGTTTTCATTTTCTTCAGATAATGAAGTAGAATTAGTGGTTCATAGAAATAGTTCTATTTTTAATTTTTTGAAGAACCTCCACACTGTTTTCCATAGTGGGTGTACCAGTTTACATTCCCACCAACAGTGCACTAGGGTTCCCTTTTCTCCAATCCTTGCCAGCACTTGTTTGTTGATTTATTGATGACAGCTGTTCTGACAGATATGAGGTGATATCACATAGTAGTTTTGATTTGCATTTCCCTGATGATTACTGATGTTGAGCATCTTTTCATGTGCCTGTTGGCCATCTTTATGCCTTCTTTGGAAAAATGCGTATTTAGATTGGCCCATTTTTTAATTGGATTGTTTGGGTTTTTTGCTGTTGAGTTGTTTGCGTTCTTTATATATATTGGTTCTTAGCCCCTTAGCAGTTACATGATTTGTGAATATTTTCTCCCATTCAGTATGTTGTCTTTTCATTTTATTGATAGTTTCCTTTGCTGTGCAGAAGCTTTTTAGTTTGATGAAGTCCCACTTGTTTAATTTTGCTTTTGTTGCCTTTGCATTTGGTGTGATCCTGTTTTTGTTTTTGTTTTTCTTAAGCCACTTCAGGAGATGGACATACTTTATAGTGACATTAATCTCCATTTCAAGTTTTTCTTATAGTCTCAGCAATTGTATTGGAAATTTGATCAAGTCAGTAACATCCTTTATTTGCCTGTTTTTCATTTATATAACAGGGTAAAATACTTTACAAAGTTCGATGGAAAGGATACACATCAGATGATGACACCTGGGAGCCTGAGGTTCACCTTGAAGACTGTAAAGAAGTTCTTCTTGAATTTAGGAAGAAGGTTGCAGATAACAAAGCTAAACCAGTCAAGAAAGATATTCAGGTATTGTGTTTTTATCTCAAATTCTTTTTTTTAATGCAATAAATTTATTATAAATATTACTGATAAAGAATGCAGTAAAGAATTTACAAATAATAATAAAATATAAAATATACAATATTCCTATTTCAAATTCTATATAGCCAATTAGTTCTCACAGGATGCTTTCGTTGAGTTTTGCCAAATTCTTCTTTCTGTAGCCAATCTGTGATTGCAGTTGACAAACAAGTACAGTTTGGACATGTTAATTAATAATTTCCTTTAAGTTAAGGGCAGGATGAAAGGGGTGGGAAAGACACATTGAAACTTTGTTCATGATGTGAGCATCTTTGTTTTGGTATACCTGAGGAATTTTTTTTTAATATTTTTTGAAAAATAATAGTTAACATACAATATTATATTAGTTTCAGGTGTATACCATAGTTATTCAGCATTTATATACTGAAAAAAGGAATCACCATGATAAGTCCAGCAACCATCTGACACTACGATGCTATCACAGTATTGTTAACTATATTCCCTATGCTGTACATTACATCCCAGTGATTTGTCTTAATCTGGAAACTTGAACATCTCACTCCCCGCCCCCTTTTTAAATTTTCAATTGCAGTTGACATTCAATGCCTGGGACTCCAGCTACCCTCCGACTCACTCAGCCACTCTGGTTTTCACAACCAGAAGCGTGGGAACTTCTCTCCCCACTCTCCCCAGCACTGGAACTGAACCCTGTGCTGGGAAGGGGCTGGGACCCCTCATTTCTCTGGAAGGATCTCCGCAGCCAAGATACCACTTCTGATTTTTAATGGTCACACGCAGGTGTGGGACCAGCCTGTTCTGCATCTCTACCAGTCTGGAGGTGGCTTCTTCTGTATGTCCTTAGTTATCGTTATATATAGTACTTATGTTCAGATAAACTTCAGGTGATTCTCAGTGATGGTTTTTCCATACACTATTTGAATTTTGATGTGTTCTTGCATGGAGGCAAGTACAACGTGTATCTACACTGCCATCTTGACCAGAAATCGCTGAGGACTATTCTTTTTGAGCCATTCAAATTACTACTATAATAATAGATATAATACATACTTTTATATTTAATCTACATTATTATTTTTTATTTTTCTGCTAATAAAAATTTAAAAATTTTAGATCACTTTGCAAAGTTATAAATTTTAATCCATTTCAGATTATGCAGGGTCTGATTATCCAGGACTTTTGTTTTTTTCTTCTGTTTCCACTTCAATTTTTAGCTACTTTATTGCGATCAGTAGTTCTTCCTGATGATAAGGAAGGATAAAGAGATCAAAGGAACCCAACATAAGTTAAACTTCTTTCATCAGCAATTTGGAAAAAGGTTAGACGGTGGCTAGATAGGGATAATGTTAAAGTAACACACAAATTTGGTTTAAGGATTTTGTTCTATGGATTTGTCCACTGTTTTATCCTTGATTGTCTTAGTCCACAAGTAATTGAATTTGCTTTACATATAAATCTTAGAAGAATTTCCTATTTTGCTTTACAATGTAAATTTTATTTTTTTATTTTATTTTAATTTATTTTTATTTTTATTTCACTTTTTTAAGATTTTATTGGGGACTTATGGGAGGGGAACAGGGTTGGGGAATTGGGGAAGGGGAACGGACAAGTTGCTGTCCTTTTGTTCTTCAGTCTAGTTGTGGAGGACATTGCTTCACGGGCCCATGTTGGTATTATCATTGTGCTCTTCCCGGGTGAGGCAGTCGCTCACCTGCCATTGGACAGCTGCTCATGGCAGCTAATGCCTGCTGCCGGCCAGCCCCACTGAAGCCTACACCATTGCCGGCGACTCACGGCAGCCCAGCTCCAGGTAAAGCTGTTGTTCACCATCTTAGCTGTAGAGGTCACAGTGTCACTAGCCCTCATGTGGGATCCGAACCGGGGCCCTGCTGCTCAGAGCTGGCATCCCAAGCCAACTCCTAACCAACGTGCCACTTGGTCGGCCCCCAGTGTAAATTTTATATATAGCTCTTTTTATAAATTGAACAAGCTCTTACTCAACTTCTTGCTTTTGACTTTAGAGGTGTTTTGGGTTTTTTTCATTAAAGATAATGGGGGTTTTTTTGAATAGTGGCAGAAGTTGTTGAACTTAAAACTATATAGTGAAAGTTTCTCGCATTCATAAAGTGAAAATTTCTCACAAGAAAGAATTCTTACTAATGATGTCTTTAAGGACTGAATATTGATCTCTTCTTTCCCTACTATTTGAGTTTCAACCACACTTTTTAAAATACTTAGTATTTTTTTAAATAACCAAAACAATATTAGGACCCAGTTTTTATTATATGTAGTGTTGTTAATAATAATAATCACAGTAACAGGCCGCTTTCATTTATTGAGCCAGCCATGTATGTGCCAGACACTGGATCAGCACTTTATATGTATTAAAATGAGAAATGGAGGCTCAGATAATGTAACCAGCTGAAGTTCACAAGTTAGTAATGATAAAGCCAGGCAACTGAGCTCTTAACCACTATGGTAGGTTCGTTTTTTTTGTGTGTTTTTTTTTTTAGTTTCAGGTGTACAAAACAATGTAAGAGACATTTACACCCCTCACAACCTGATAACCCCTCTCCTCCAATCTACTACCCCTCTGACATCGTATATAGCTGTTACAATTCCATTGACTCTATTCCCTATGCTGTACTCCATATCCTGTGACTATATATATATTAAATTATAGTTGATATTCAATAGTATTCAGCTTCAGCTTCAGGTGTACAATGCAGGGGTCAGGCGTCTACACTGTCCATGAAGTGGACTCCCTAATAAGACAAATGTCCGTTGAATACCAGTAGGTTGCTTTTTTTAATTTATTTTATTTTATTGGGGAACAGTGTGTTTTTCCAGGACCCACCAGCTCCAAGTCAAGTAGTTATCTTCAGTCTAGTTGTGGAGGGCGCAACTCAGTGGGCCATGTTGGGATCGAACCGGCAACCTTGGTGTTAGGAGCACTGCACTCTAACCAACTGAGCTAACCAACCGCCTCAGGTAGGTTGCCTTTTGATTGGGGCTTTAGCTTTAAATCTATTTAGCGGAGTGGAATTACCAGTTTTTAAAAATTACATTATGTGGGCTGGCTGAGTGGCACGATGGTTAAGAACTGGCTTGGGATGCCAGAGGGCCCCGGTTCGGATCCCACATATGAGGGCCAGTGACACTGCCCTCCACAGCTAAGATGCTGAACAACAGCTAAACCTGGAGCTGGGCGGCTGTGAGTCGCCTGCTACGGCGTAGGCTGCAGCCCCTGTGGCAGTGGGTTGCCGTGGGCTACCCGTGTGTAGCCAGCAGCCAGCATGAGCAGCCAGCAGCCGCAGTGAACGGCCGTCCAGAAGCCGGCGACTGATCTGCCTCGCCAGGGAAGAGCACAATGATGGTGCCAACTTGGGCCAGTGAAGCAACATCCTCCACAACTAGACTGAAGAACAAAACGACAGCAACTTGTCTGTTCACCTTCCCCCAATTCCCCAGTGCTGTTCCCATCCTCCCAATTCCCCAATAAAAATCTTAAAAAAAAAAAAAATTACATTATCATGGCAGGCCTTTAAAATACACGGTTTTTAGGGGTGACTGGTTAGCTCACTTGGTTAGAGCATGGTGCTGATAACACCAAGGTTGCTGGTTCAGTCCCCTTATGGGCCACTGTGAGCTGCGCCCTCCTTAAAAGAGTTAACTGTGCCATTGTAGCATGAAAGCGATGTGTAACTAATGACTGTGGTTGTTCCCCAATAAAATTAAAAAATGTGTTTGTGTGTGTGTGTGTGTGTGTGTGTGTGTGTGTGTGTACAGTTTTTAAATTACTAAGCAAAATGCTCAGTACTTTAAAATGTTTTGTAAAGGAAACCCTTTGTAAAATGAGTTCAGATTCAGGTAGATACTTTTTTCCCCTTATTATTATTTTTTTTTTTGCTATAATTATACTTCACTTTTCTCAAATGAGTGCCTACTCCCCCCTTACCTATTTCTTTTCTTAAAAACACTCACACGAGAACAAATGCACACGTTTCACTAAGTGATTGGTTCATGTTACTCTAAAAATTTAGGCTTTGTGATTGAAGTCTTCCTAAAGTTATTTCTCAGTTTCTCACTTTCCTCCATTATTAATGAGATAGGTTCACTGCAACTTTTCCCAAGAAGTCTTGTCTTAGAGAGCTCTGGCTTTTTTGTCCTTTATTTCACTTTACCAAGCCTCTGGTTAAACACAGCTTCCAACTTTCTCTCGATTTAAAATTATACTCTTTTTAAAGATTAAAGATTAAAAATCCTTGTCCTTATTTTAGAAAGACATTTCTCCACTTTAAAGTGTCTTTTTTAAGTTAACCTTACTACTTCGTAAATAATTTAAACCTCTAGGCTCTAATAACATTTCGAATCTTTATAATAAGAGTGAAATCTCGATTTCCTGTATCAGGTCAGCTTTGTCATATATTCTGTTGTTTCTAAAGTATTCCAGTATTTATATTCCTTTGACCCATTGGCCTAATTTTTGAGGTGGTGTCAGTGGACAGGAATACGGCAAAAATACAGCTGCTCGCTGATCTGCTTCCCCTTTAGCAAAAACAGTTTTGCCATTTATAAACTTTTCTGATCCTTTGATGGTAAACAGAAAAATAGTCAGTATGAGACAATTACTTTGTTCATCTCTTCACTGTGTTCATACAAGCAGCATATGTGCTGTCAATGAAAATTGTTGTATTTCCAAATCACCAAAATGTTTGCTTTATGGAAAGGTTTCATCACAGTAGCAATTGTAAGAATATTTGCTTTTTCACGTCTTCTACTAATTCTGGAAGCACTGATTGCTTAGGACTTAGTAAGCATCACAGGAAGTTAGAAATGGTTTCTAAAATAACCTAAAAAGTTTGTTAATGCTATTTACCATAAAATAGACATGATGCAGAAATGGTACTTGTTCAATTAAACTACCTTTTATCTTGTAGCATTTGGATACCTTTTTATCTTTCTGCTGACCATCAGGTGTTTCAACCTAAAAAAAAAAAACGAGGTGTTTTTTAATGTTCATGTGTGTGATATGGTCCAGTCTTTCATTTATTTATTTATTTTTTTTAAAAGATTTTTATTGGGGAATTGGGGGGATGGGAACAGTGCTGGGGAATTGGGGGAAGGGGAACAGACAAGTTGCTGTCGTTTTGTTCTTCAGTCTAGTTGTGGAGGACGTCGCTTCACTGGCCCAAGTTGGCACCATCATTGCGCTCTTCCCAGGCAGGCAGATAAGTCGCTGGCTTCTGGTCGGCCGCTCACTGCGGCTGCTTGCCGCTCACGCTGGCTGCTGGCTACACACGGTAGCCCATGGCAACCCACTGCCACAGGGGCTGCAGCCCATGCCGTCGCCGGCGACTCACGGCAGCCCAGCTCCAGGTTTAGCTGTTGTTCAGCATCTTAGCTGTGGAGGTCAGTGTCACTGGCCCTCATATGTGGGATCCAAACTGGTCCCTCTGGCATCCCAAGCCAGCTCTTAACCAACGTGCCACTCGGCCGGCCCCAGTCTTTCATTTTTTAAGGACTGAAAATATACAAGTAAGGCAGCCAGTGGCCTGCTTTACCCTGTAATGGCTGAGGTTACATGACACAGGTGGGCCTCTACTGTTACAGCAACACATTTTACTATTTTTATCTTACTGGATTTGGGGGTATTTTTTTTCTTTTTTTAGGAATAGCAGTTTTTAGTACACATGACCTTTAAATGGTCATAGTTACAGAAAGATCAGTAAAATCCAGGTTTATTGCTCTTGTGCCTTGCAAGTAGTATATACATGTTTTTTTTTAAGGGTAGTACTATATACATACTAAGGATTTTGCCTTCTGCTTTTCTTAAAATATTTTATCAATATACTAACCAGCAAACATTATTTTTTCTTAATTATGAAACAATCACCTGTGTACCTACTACTCAGTAAAGAGATTAGTTTTGCCTTTATTTATTTATTTTTTAGATTTTTATTGGGGAATTGGGGAAGGGGAACAGTGTTGGGGAAGGGAAACAGCCAAGTTGTTGTCCTTCAATCTTAGTTGTGGAGGGCGCAGCTAGCTCAGCTCCAAGTCCAGTTGCCATCTAGCTGCCCTTTGGCAGTTCGCAGCCGCTCAGCTCATGGTGCGGTGTTCAATCTTAGTTTATCCCATGTGGGAGTCAAACCAGCAACCTTGTTGTTAGGAGCACGTGCTCTCACCAGCTGAGTCATTCTGCCACCTGTTGGCAGCTCAGCAGCAGCTCAGCTTGGGCACAGCTCACTGCCCCATGTGGGAATCCAACCAGCGACCATGTTGCTCAGAGCTCCCACTCTTAACCAACTGGTCCACTTGGTCGGCCCTGTTTTGCCTTTATTTTAAAATTTGAGAATACCTTTTCAGGGTATCGGGGGGAGAGCTTTTTGAAATACTTCTGTTTGTTAACAGTGTGAGAATTTGCACATCTAAATAAGCATTATTTTTCAGAGCATACATTTTATGAAGTAAACATTTATTCCAGTAGTGCCATGGCCCAAAATGATTTTAAATGTTTTCTTTTGGATTTGTCTTAAGAATTTATAATGTCATGCAAAAAATAATTTCTAGTGTCACCTTGTTTTACTCAAAAATAGTTCTTTTAAAAAGGTGGTGGTACAGGCTCTAAGAGTGCAGGAGTGCACTTCCTGAAGTGTTTTGAGCAGTGTTTGCACTGTTGAAATGCTTATGGTTTCCCGAGGTGGTTACCTGGACGCAGATGACAGGGATGCGTGTGCTATACCTTTGGCACGTGCATCGTCAGTGACATTGTCCTCACACTTCATATACTAGACTGCTGAACATTCCCACAGACAGGCTGTAATGTGAATAGAGTGACATGATTTGCCTGGTCAGCCCCAGTTTATGACTGTTAACTTGGTGTAATTATTAATAGAACCATTTCACTTTTCAGAGTTGTCCTGATTTGCATAATAAATACTGTTCATTTTACCTGTTAGACTATCAAGCAGAGTAAGATGACAGGTTGCTAGTGTACTAAAAGTGCTAAGACCTGTGGTATGGGATTTTAAATCTTTGTTGTGGTTATTTTATAGTTACTTTTAAAGTTAACACTGATTCCTTTCTATCTGATACCTGTTGTCTGATGGCAGACAGTAACTGTCACCAGGTGGCAGCTAATCTTTATGTCCTGACTTCACTGAATCTGGCCAAGCATTCCAGGGCTGGGTCACTGAGGTACAATGAACCTACTGATTCATTTAAAATATGGCTAAATGATCATTTCTAACTGCTATATTTATAACCTAGCTGAATCAACCCATTTTATATTTCAAACCTACAGGTTTAAATATAGGTCATTAGAATAGTCGAACAACCAAAAAAAGGTCTTTTTTTTTTTTTTTTCAGTTATTTGCTAAGGAGCCAGCAGCAGTACAGCTCTTCCCCGATGACTGAGGAAGAATTAGAAGGATTAGAGCTTACAGGTGACCCTGCCACCCTGTTGTAATGACAGCTATAGCAACCACCAAATGGGGCAGGGGGCATTGCTGGGTGATGGGGACATTGCTTCCCATCAGCATTGTCTGTACTCATTTACTTAATCCTATAGTGATTAGAAATTAGTTTCAGATTTGTTACACCCATTCTGTAAAATTTCAAATTTATTTGCAGGGTTTTTGTACTTACAGTTGATTCACTGAGGATGTTTAGTGTTCAGGTTACTTGGATTATTTTATTTTTCTTCTCTGTGGTTATATTATCAACTTGATAAACAGATTTGTTTATTTGTTAATTAGTGTCTGTTTTCTCCCTGCCTTTCCTCTCTCCATATCTAATTTGAAGTACAGTCGACACTTGAACAACACAGATTTGAATTGCACAGGGTCCACTTATACGTGGATATTTTTCAATGAGTAGTCAGCCCTCTGTATTCTCAGGTTCCTCATTCCCAATCCAGCCGTGGGATCCATGGACACGGAGTGCTGACTGCATTTTTCTGGCCCTTTATAGACGGGACTCGAGCATCCGCAGAGCCCGTCTCCTGTGGATACGAAGACACACCGCTAAATTTCGGAGTGTCAGTTATACCTGGATTTCTGACTATGAGGGGCCGGGACTCCACCTCCGGCGTTGCTGAGGGTCAGCTGTATATATCACATCAGTGCGGTTTGGGTGCCGTCTTTGCTCATTCCATAGAAACAGTGAACTGTAACTGCAAGTTTAAAGACCAAAAGCCTTTGAAAAAAAAAACCTTTTCTTTGAATTGGTAACTACTTTTTGGCAACCAAGAAAGTCTGTACAATAATTACTTCTTTGGTGTTTTTGGAAATTCTGAGGTTCATGTACAACCCAGCCACCATACACAAGACTGTTATTGTTTACTTCTGCTTTAGTTGGGGACCTTCAGCAGTACCAATTCCTGTCCCTCTGTGTTTTCCTACTTCCTTATATTGAGGCTCATCAGCTACTGAGACCTAGTTGCTAGATGAGATACAAGTAATAATATACTCCATTTAGGTAAGTCATTTTAAGGAGTTGACAAACTGCTTGGAAAAAAAACATTTCTACCAGATTTCATTAGTACTTTTCAAAACATTTTAAATTACTATGTTAATGAATATTTCAATCTTTTCTTTTATAGAGACTGTCCTTAAATAATGACATATTTGAGGCAAATTCTGACAGCGATCAGCAAAGTGAAACAAAAGATACTTCTCCAAAGAAGAAAAAGAAGAAATTGAGGCAGAGAGAAGAGAAGAGCCCAGATGATCTGAAGAAGAAGAAGGCCAAGGCTGGGAAACTGAAAGAGAAGTCCACCCCAGACCTGGACAGCCCCTCCTCTGAGAGCTCAGTGTTTGATTTAAGGACAAAGAAAAGGGTTTCGGAAGCTAAAGAAGAATTAAAGGAGTCCAAAAAGCCCAAAAAAGATGACATAAAAGAAACTAAGGAATTAAAGAAAGTTAAAAAGAGTGAAATAAAAGATTTAAAGACTAAAATAAGAGAAGACTCCAAAGAAAACAGAAAAACAAAAAAAGAGAAATGTGTTGAATCTCAGTTGGAATCTGAATCAAGTGTACTTAATGAGTCCCCTTTTCAAGAGGGGGACAGTGATGATCTACATGCTGACAACAGAGAAGAGAGACAGAAGATTAAAGATGCAAAAGATAAGGCAGGGCAAGACACTACTGAGGACACTGTTTTAGATAAACAGCTGGAGGACACAGGGAGTGTCGAAGAGGGTGCTGATGTCACAGGAAAGAGAAACAGAAAGAAACCCAGAAAGGCTGAGGAACTTAAGGACAGGAAAAGGCTAGAAAACAAAAACCTTTGTTTAGAGAGAAAAAGTACATGTAAAAAGCAAAGGAATCAGGACAAAGGCAAAAGTACCCCAGAGTTAGATAAGCTGACACCTGCACCTGCCCAGACCCAGAGGAGCTCAAGGTCGGCCTGGGAAGAGAGAGGCGTCCAGGCCACTGACTCAACTGAGGAAGTGAGTACTGTGTTAGAATCTTAATCCTAGAATGTTCCAATCCAGCTACTGCTCTTTTGAGTGGTCAAGAAGTTTTACAAATAATGAGGAAACGGTGAAGCTATCAGAATAGTTTTTCTGTCGTTAGGGAATTCCTTAGTTCTGTGACCACAGGGCAGCATTGTGTAGTAAAACTTAGAATTTCACCAGCTTATTTTACTAGCTTCTCACATCCTGCTTGGCATTTGACTCTGTCTTAAAAATATACCACTTTTTATTTAAATAATAGTACATAGAGGACACTAACTCTGCAGGTCTTTTAATACTTACAAAAATATACTTAATAAGAGTTTATCCCCTTTTAAAAAGTATTTTTTATGTTTTTTCAAAATGGAAATATTTTCCACATTATGAAGGTATTTATATATGCAGTATTTATCAAGGGCTAGAAAAACAGTAAGTTTTTTTCATCTGTTAATACCAGTTTTGTGGATTTATCTTCAGGAAATCATTTTAAAGGGAGAAAGAGCTATGTATACAAAGATATTTATGGTAGTGTTAGTTTCACTAAAATTAATACAATTCTAACTGGGCATGAGAGAAATGGTTAAGAAAATGTATCAACTTGGGAACTATTATATAAATAAATAAAAATGAATTTTAAACAGCAAAATTATAAAGATCAGAAGGCAAAATGTGCAGAAATAAAAAATAGTCACGTCTGGTTAGTAGGACTGTAGGGTAAAATTTTGGGGGGAACTTTATTTTTAGAAAATTCTTAAAAGAGAATTCAGGAAACTGGTGTTGGGTTTTGAATTTGGTGATTTGTAAGTTATGGTTGAGGAAGCGGTTGATGTGAAGAAGATTTACTCACCAGTGGCCGGCCAGGTGCCACAGTGCACAAAGGCATCGCCTATGCCAGGGGCCTGTGTTTTCCAGTTTTCAGATACATGTCAGCTCTTATCTGTTCCTATTTTGGATCTTAACTTATGTCTCTTTCAGGAGAAAGAGACCCAGAAAAATGAACCCAAAGAAAAATACCAGAAAGGGCATGATTTGGACAGGGAAGAAAAAGGCCGCAAAGAGCCAAAGGGATTAAAGAGTGAGTGTGACTACTAACATTTACTGTTTATCACTGCCATCCTCTATACAAGGAATTTAATCTACTGTGAGACAGTCTTTTCTAACCTGCAATGTCATAGAACTGGAAAATTTCATTCACTGGGCAATTTAGAACCTTATGCTTCTTTTGTTTAACCCGTTACCTTAGTTTATTACATAAGTTTATATTGTTTCTAACATTAATGTTTTTCCCTCTGTTCACCTTTATTTTTCTCCTTTTGAGTATGATGATGAAGTATATTAGAGTTACAGTGACAGGACACTAGCTATGGCAGAAAAAACATAAATGTCCCTTTTATCATGGATGCTAAATGAGACAAACTGTTTAGCATTTATTGTATTTAGCTTTGTGTCATTTATATAAACATAGCATTGACTGTACATTTTGGATCACGTGAATACAGACCATAATTGAGAATGCATAACACATGTAACACTGGAACAGTACTTTATAAAACATCCCCTATTACAATGTTTGAATAAGACCCAAAAGTTCTCAAGAAAGCAGTGATTCTAAGGCATAGATAGTTCCCCTGGGTTTTCTCCCAAAAGCTGTAACTGAGGTAGTATCAGAAGTACATTTCAGCTCTGCCTAGGCCGGGACTTAAGACATAAGCAGCAGGGGAATGGAAGCAGGAAGGAGCAGTTGTCATTTCAATGGATCATGTATAAAGTGATTAAAGATTAAATCTATTTAAAGCAATACAACAATTTTAACCATTTATTATTGTTCATAGAGTGATTGAAGATTCAAAATATTATATAATTGGAGCTGGTTAATTAACTTTTTTTTCTTACATGTCAGTTTCAGGTACATTCTTATTGTGAATGTGTAATAGCCTTCAACTACTGTTCATTCCATTCATAGTAGTACTTATTGGGTGTCTGATTTTCAATATCCCCTGCTAATAAAAACGACCTGCTATGTACCCAGAGTTTATATAATAGAGTTCTTCCTAATTTTGTTTTCTTCTACCCCTTTTGGGGGTTATGATGTCAGATCTAGTGTGTTGCAGTCTTCTTTTCACCTTTATCTTTAGTTAAAAGCTGAGTGGATTTCCACAGGTGTCAGGTGATTTTACCAGGTGTTCTGTCAGTATGCTGGCATGGCACCCTCTCATCCCCCGCTCGCCACCAGAAACTGCTTTTGTACGAGGTTAGCTTCAGAATACAGTCGCAGGCAGGGGTCTTAACAGGACAGATGATGGCATGTCTGGGATTATCTTGAGGCTCACTGTCTTCAGAAGGCTTTTGTCAAAACTGGGAGTGATTCAGAGCACCAGTGAGCAGCCATGCACTTTGGACACCCTTCCTAAATACTGAGCAGCCAATAGGAAGGCCAGCTGAATACTGAGCAGCCAATAGGAAGGCCAGTTGAATACTGAGCAGCCAGTAGGAAGGCCAGTTGAATACTGAGCAGCCAGTAGGAAGGCCCATTGAGACAGCTTCATGTTTGATAGTGAATCTGATCATTCTTTTCCACCAAGATATATACTAGTAAAAAGTAAGAAAATACCTATTTCTTTAACACGAACCTATATTTTCTCTTGATTGCAACAAATTTGTGATTCCTGTTATCAATTTTATTTTTTTCATTAGCATTAAAGGAAATCAGAAGTGCATTTGACTTATTTAAATTAACTCCAGAAGAAAAAAATGATTTTCCTGAGAATAATCAGAAAAGAGAAGATATACCACTGGAAAGTAAGATCGCAGAAGATCCCAAAACCCAGGAAAACAAGGAGGTACTTAAAGAAAGGAGAAATACCAGAGATGAGGCTGATACCTGGGCATACATAGCCGCAGAGGGAAATCAGGACCTTGTGGACAGTGTGTGCCACGCAGACGAGAATTCTGGTGAGTGTGTTTGGGATCATTTTGCAGATTTTTTTAGGGCAGTACACCATCATATTATTTCACTCTCCATCCTCATCTGTCCCACTGTAACTCTGATCTCAAGATCAGAAAATAAGCCATAAAAGACTTCATTTCAGTCTCCGGAATAAGTAACTTATTGAAGATTTAGGTCATTCTGTGATTTCTAAATTGATCACACAAATATTTCTGAGTCCCTATAATGTGATCTGCACATTTAGAAATTATAAAGCTTTCCAGTTTTCTGCCTTTCTCATTCTTGCCAAGTAGCCTGATTTCTTTCAGAAAATTATCAAATGCAGACTTATTTGTATTCTGTCCTTTTAACCTTGCAGTAAATAGCACTTGCACTTCCTAAATATGACAGTGCTGTACATGCTCTCGTGGTGGGTGTTGGGATCGGGTGTGAAGAAGGGGGCCTCGTGTGAAATGCAGGCCACACTAGCTGTGGGGGCACAGAAAGAGTGCATACATGTGAGCTGTAGCTAGGACAGGGTAATCTGACAGAACTGTCATCTGTGAATCTGGAAAAACAGGTGAAGATAATTTTTTAAATGTTTCAGAATATAAGGCAGAGTAGATAGTCTGGGTGGTCTTGTTACTACAAAACATCTAGACCCTGGGCCCCAGGTAAATGTTGCTTTCTGGTGCATTGCTGAGCTTGCAAGAAATCGGGACACTTTCTGGGACCCATAGACAAGGCAGAGAGGAAGTAGGTTGCCCTGAGGCCTGATGCCAAGTAGCAGCATTGCCCTTTGGGGTACCAGGCAGTGATGAGCAGAGGCACTTGGTTTGCACCCTTGGATGTCCCTGGGTGAAATCTGAAACTGGCCTGTACCCGGAGGGCAGGGAGAGACTGAAAAAAGAGGCAGCCTGTCTGGATTGGTAGGTGGCAGGTGTGATAAGCAGAGGACCTACAGAACGAGGCTGGTCTCATGTGGCAGTGCGACAAATAGCTCTCCATACCCGCCCACCAAATCTTAAGTTTCTGTAGAGGCCTTCACTGGGTTCAGTCAAGTGTTCAGTCAGATGGTCTGAACACCTCTCAGGGCTGCATCCTTGAGGTGGCTCCCTGTGGAAACGGTGGGTGGGATGCATCCTCCAGGGAAGGGGAGCCCTGAGGAGTCTGCGTCCGGCTTACTGGTTAACCAGAAGTCAAGTCCTTGCAATAGCCTCCAGCATCCCACCCCTTGTGACTGGCTCTTACCCTCTCACACGCCCCCCTATTCTGCATTGTGCCCTGGGTGGTCAGCAAGGGGTCTCACTAGCATGGAGGTGGCTCATTTGGCAGCTGTCTGGCCACAGTGGTGGCAGGCACATGCCAGAGAAAACACAGGTTAAGATAATGATCCCCAAAATAAGTAATACTTTTTTCCACTAAAAGCCCCAAGATCCGAGCCACTGATTTATTAAGTCTGTGAGGCTGGGGGTCAGACTCCTTGGGACATTCGTTTGTGTCCTTGTGAATTAATGAAGATGATACGTTACAGACTCATCAGGGTTGAGCACATTCTGTTTGGGAAACTGCGTAGGTGCCCCTTCAGAGGCAGTAATAATGCCCAAGGCCTTCGTGTTCTGGAGAACAGCTTTGTCATTAGGGACATTTCAGTGTTCAGGAAAGAGGCTTCGTCTGCAATCCTGTACGGCTTGCTGGGTGACTTTAGTAAGGGCATCTCCGTGCTGTAACAGCCTCAGGCCAGCAGAGGAACAAAGATGGTGACCAAATGATTGGCCAGTGGGAAACAGCGTGCCCACTGGGCCTTGAGCGGGTTGGCAGCTTTAGGAACCTGAGCTGGTTGTTCTTACCATCCCTGTTGGCCAGGGGAGGCAGGCAGAACTGCCAGTCAGGCATGAGGAGATGGACGGGGGCGGGGGGGGTGCCAGCCCAGGATATCCCCAGCCCTCCCCTCCTTCAAGGGTGCATGCTGTGTTTGAGGTGTTTCCACAGATGTAACTTGTAGCAGGACAGTGGGATCCCAGTGAAGATTGTCTGGTTCCCCGAACCAAGGTGCCAAGTGACACCCATCCCATCGGGACATCCCAGTGCAAATTCCAGTAGATGGCACCTCTCCCCGGTGTGACGGGGCTCGGGTGTCTCCAGCAGCACAGCACATTGTGCACAGTGAGTGGGGGCAGTGGCTGTCCCCCGAGACTTCCATACGTATCTTTATGGCATTAGGTGCCTCAGCAGGTGACCCCAGTCTGGCATATGGGCAGCAGGACCTACTGGTCAATCATTCAAATGTATCAAAGCCTGGAAGAGCTCTTTAGTCCACCTGGCCAAGGTGGTTAACCTGTTAGTCATTTCATCTCCTGCTCAAGGCTCCATTCTTCCTTCCTACCAACCCTGCTGCTGCAGATTATAGGGAGATGGGACCTCCATTCAGTGTCATGTTCTTGTGCCCAGTCTAGCACATCGTGACCTCTGAAATGGGACTCCCAATCACTGTCTATTCAGCAAGGGTGTCTGTAGACGGTCCGTGCCTTTTCCAATCCTCTATAATGGTGGCAGCCTGGTTGGCACGGCTACAACTGAGGAAGCTTGGGTCAGGCCAGACATGGCATCACACAAACCAAGGCACATTTAGAACACTCACTCGGAGGGGACGAATTTGCCAATCCATTGCTGGTCAGGAACTCTGGTAGGTGGCTCCAGAATCCTTTGGCAGTTGTCTTGGGCTTTGTTTAGAATACATAGGACATGCTGTCACTGCATTAACAAGTCACTGTTTCGGGGGCATCACACCATCCCAGCCAGGTGCTGCAGGGGCCACTGAAGGGCCTGCAACCAGGGCTCGTGCCTGGATCGCCGGTGATTGTCAGTGCCTCACAAGCTGGAATGTGGCTCCTACTGGCGAACCCAAATGACCTTCCACATGGTCATCCACCCTCGGCTTCCCTGTCCAGGTCGTGTGTCAATCCTTTAGAAGAGTCCAGCCCACCCACACGCTGAGTCCAGCTCACCAGCTGCTCTGGGCCCTTCCCATTTCCATCCAGACGGTGCTGGCGCTGCGTTGAATGATGGCTGGGGTCCATGTGAAAGGAAGGTGGCCCTAACCAAGACCATCCATACCGGCCGGTGTCGGCGGAAATTTCCCCCATTTCCACCCCACAGGAGACTAGGACCTATCGGCATACGGGAGGCCCGGGGCTGTTCAGCATAGAGACCTCAGCATCAGACCCTTTAGGCCTAAAACTGGATAGGTGACAAGTGGCAACACAGATCCATGCATGGGGAGCTCTGTGGGTTTCGTTACTCCAGACAGCCCTGGAAAGATGGTACTGTCTCACTTATGGGACCCATCATCTGTCCCTCCCAGTGCTTCCTGTGGGCTCAGATATGGTTCACTGAGTGGCTCTGCTCCTCGGCTGTGACGTGTCCTCTCACAGGTCACTCTAGATCAAATGCATTAATTCATGTAAATAACTGAACATCCCTTACTGAGTGTTAGCTGCTTTTACTGTTACCACTCCTGTCACTCGGGAGATCCAGCAAGCTTCTGTGACTGATGCAAAGCGCACAGCCAACTTGGGGCTGGGACCGGATGCAGGGTGTGTCACTCCGGGGCACAAGGGGCGGTGCTGTTTCCAGTTGAGAGCTTGGGGGGCAGTGCATTTGTTCGCATGTCTTTTACAGAGTCCAATTCTATGGCAAGGTTAACATCTAACATCTGTGTGGTTGGAGCAATCGGTTTTAGGTGAAAATCCTTTAACTCTTACCAGCAAATATTTGTGCTTTTCAGTCATTTTGAATTACTCCCATGTGAGTTAGGCCCCAGTCTCACTGCATTGCCTATAGGGGGCGAGCACGTCCCTCCTAGTGCTGATCAGCCACCTGGTCAGACATGAGGGAGACCAGCACTTGCTTTACGGTGTGATGGGGGCTTGACAAGGCTGGCTAACTGGAGGAGGAGCGAGAGCCAACTCTGGATCAGTGGACAAGCACTTATTTAAACATAGGTCTGGTTTACACATTTTGAATGATGTTACCTACTTAAATGATTGAAAGCAGTATATGTCCAGGGAGAATGGCCAAAAAAATAAATGTTAGCAATGCCTCTTATTGATGCCTCTCTTCCTTTGAGCTACTTACTCATGTACCTAAAGTTCATATTTCACTATTTTATAGTTAATGTGTTACCTGTTTATCTTCAAGCCTTTGAAGCACTGTGACTTCTAAATATGGATAGTTCGTGTTACTTACCCTCAAAAATCAGTTTCTTTAAAGACTATATAGTTTTGGTTAAGACACCACAAATTTAATAAAATGCCATTGTATTTTTGTATAGCCCAGAAAAATGTATCTGATGGCTGTTCTGTGTTCCAGACGGCAAACAGCAGATTCTGAGTTTGGGCATGGACCTGCAGCTGGAATGGATGAAATTAGAAGATTTTCAGAAGCATCTGGCTGGAAAAGATGAGAATTTTACTACAGCAGATGCCATCCCAAGTCGTGAGTAGTTTGGGAATTTTGGAGGTCCTTTTCATGAATCTAGATAAGAAAACCTAAGTTATCTTTTCTTTCATTTTAGATTTATTGAGGGATGCTGTGCAAAATGGGGATTATATTACCGTGAAGGTTGCACTTAGTTCAAATGAAGACTATAACCTGGACCAAGAGGTAGTAAATATATCTGTAAAATCTCATGAAAAGAAGATGGAAAGTAGCTCTTTTAAAATAATTCAGTTTTACTTTTTTTTTTTTTTTTAAGGTTTTATTGGGGAATTGGGAAAGGGGAACAGTGTTGGGGAATCGAGGAAGGGGGACAGCCAAGTTGTTGTCCTTCAGTCTTAGTTGTGGAGGGCACAGCTAGCTCAGCTCCAAGTTCAGTCACCATAGAGCAACCCATCGGCTGCAAGCTGCCACTCAGCTCAAGGTGCCGTGTTTAATCTTAGTTGTGGGGGGCATAGCCCACCATCCCATGCAGGAGTCTACCAGAAATCTTGTTGTTAGGAGCACATGCTCTCACCAGCTGAGCCATCCTGCCACCTGCTGACAGCTCAGCAGCAGCTCAGCTCGGGCACAGCTCACTGGCTCATGTGGGAATCGAACCGGCGACCCTGTTGCTCAGGGCTCGTATTCTTAACCAACTGAGCCACTCGGCCGGCCCCCAGTTTTACTTTTCATTTTTTAACTATAAAAGTAATGCATGTTCACTTTATAAAATTCAAACATTGTAGGAACGTAGAAATTATAGTCCCTGTATTTCCAACCCCCTCAAGTCACTTGATTTAGCTGTGGTTGTCTGGTTTAATCTCTGACACTTTGAGGAGTGAACGCGGGAACTGGCTCCTGTTTCTCAGGTCACTGTTTCATTGGTAGTGGCCTATTTACAGCAACTGCCAACTGTATTGTTGTTGCCGGTTTTTATACTGATTTATAAGGAATTTTTATATGGAAGCATATTAACCCTTTTGTCCTTGTTTTTTTCAGTCTTTTGTGGCTTAGAGGGTTTTTATTTTTAGGTAGTCACATGTGTTGATCTTATTCCCTTGTGGCTTTTGGTTGTCTTGTCTTGCTTAGAAAAGATTTTTATATTTTCTTCTGTAGTTTTCTTGCCGAATTGGATTTTTTAGGTTTAATTCTTTGGGATTACAGTTCAAAAAATTATTAGGATTTTGATTAAAATTGCATGAAATACATAATTTGGCTGAGAATTGACATTTTTACATTTTGAATCTTTCATCTAGGAACATAACTTTAAAGCAGCTCTTCATTTATTCCCAAAGTTGTTTGGGTTTTTTCTTCATATAGTTATTGCACATTTTAGATGTATTCCTAAATGTTTTATAATTTCTTAATTATCTTACTTGATCGTTAGGATCTTCCCCCCGCCCACATTTTTTCTAACTGGTTATTACATGTGTATGGTAAAGCTGTTGGGTGTGTGTTGTCTCCAGTCACTTTATAAAATTCTCATACTCTGTTTTAAGTTACTGGCCTTGGATTTTCTGGGTAGAGAATTTGATTATCTGCCAAAATAACTATTTTGTTTCCCTCTTTTCCAACAATATTTCTTTCTCTGGCCTTGTGAAACTAGTGCCACTTGAGTAATGGTGATGATGGCAGCGGCCTGCCTGTCACTGACCTGAGGGGTATCCCCTGAGTCTCTGTGTCAGCTGTCCTGCCTGTCCTGTGTTATCTCCCTGCACTTCCGCTTTTTTTAGCTGTTTTTATCAGGGTTTTATCAAATGCTTCTTTCCCCCAAGTTAATCCTTCCATAGCTTGGTCTTTATTAAAAGCGTAGTAACGCCAGAAAATTTTCTAAAGTTAGGAAGGTTTTTACAAATGAGAGTAAGTGGTTCCATTGTCTTAGTTTTAGTGGGCCCTCTTGAGTCTGTCTAACGTGCTATTGCTAGAAATAATTTTTCTTACATTTGTGTTCCCTCAGATTACTCATACCGGCAAATTTTGCTCAACTATCAGATTATAACCAAATGAACTCAAACTATTGCAATGTGGTTTTATCAAATGGTATTTAATTAGTGGTTTGGTTTCCTCATACGGTGTTTGTTTCAACTAGTGATTGGAAATATTTTAGCTAATAGTTACCTTTTTATTTTTCATCAGCTTCATGTAATTTCACATCTGTTGAAAGCAGTTCTTTAATGAATTAATTTTGTCATATCAGCATCTTGTTTCCTACTTTTACCTTTTCTTCCTTATCCTTAGAGCAATAAAACTCTGTCTTCCCAACTGCTAGATTTACATGGGCTAATGTTTTTCTAATCTAGATAGCATTCATTTTAGCTTGTCATCAGTGGGTTTATTTGACTTCTTGTGGTCATTTCTAGCCTTCCATCTTTGGGCCACTAAATGAATCTAATGAATGGATGAGTTTTACCAAGAGCACAGACCTTTGCCATTTATGCAGTGTCAGGATTCACTGTTATTTCACATCATGCAAAGTATTGATGTGCCTTTAGAACTTAATACATGGGGGTGGTAAAACTTTATGGTAACATTCATATATAAAAAATTCTAGTTTATTAGTTTTTGATTGTTTATTAGGATATTTTAGTAAAACTAAGTAAAGCTAGATAGATGTTTAAATCAATGCATTTTATTGATTTCATATTGAAACAATCTAGATGAAAAAACTTAGTTCTAAAATTTCATTAAACTTTGACATTTTTTTCTTAAACAAAACCTTTAATAAAGGATTCAAGCGGGATGACACTGGTGATGCTGGCCGCAGCAGGAGGGCAGGACGACCTACTGAGGCTCCTCATCAGAAAAGGAGCCAAAGTGAACGGCAGACAGAAAAATGGGACCACCGCCCTCATTCACGCAGCTGAGAAGGTCGGTTATCATGCAGCCATTTCATGGTCTTACAGGAATTCCTGCTCTGGGACTATGACAGAATCATCTCCATAGTGAACTATAACGGTCATACAGTCAAGTAACTTTAAAGTTGTATATTCCAGCTCATCTGTAACGTATCATGAATGGGTGTTTTTCAGCAACAGTAGTACTTTGCCATTAAGTGTTCATAACGTGATTATCTAGTTAGAACTGAGTTATATTTAAAAAGGACCTCTAATTAAGGTTCTAATACCAGTTTCAATCTTGAGTCTTTTAAATATCTTTTTCATTTGAAATTAGGTGTTCCTTTTGATTGATAATTTAATTAAAATGTTCCCATTTATTATTTTTCTAAAGGATTGCTATGCAGAGTTCTTATATTGAAACCAGTGGTTAAACTTCAGATTGAAGTTGTTGGCAAAACTGAGTGAGGCTGTGTGTGGTACCTTGGGGGAGCCACTTCCCGCCCCTCACCTCTGCCCACTCTCGCCCCTCACCTCTGCCCACTCTCGGGACCCTGCACAGTAGGGAGCCAGGAAGCTGCTCACCTACCTACTTAGGGTGACCAAGTATCTTTTCCTAATGGCTAAGTTTCAAAACATCTAAAAATATCTTATCTTCCAAAGAATTTTGGGAGTTAAATTTGCCTTTTTTCTTCCTTGATAGAACTTTTTAACTACAGTGGCTATTCTTTTGGAAGCAGGAGCTTTTGTAAATATACAGCAGAGCAATGGTGAGACAGCTCTCATGAAGGTAATCGCGCCTCCCCCGTCTCAGGTGTGCATGTTGGGGCCTCAGGCTGCTGGGCCCTGCTGGGGACATGATGGGGAACAGGACAGCTGCCAGGCCCTGCTGGGGACATGATGGGGAACAGGACAGCTGCCAGGTCCTGCTGGGGACGTGGTGGGGAACAGGACAGTCTGGAGTGGGAGCAGTAACACCTGGTGTGATGAGTGATGTGATGGGACTGAGCACAGAAGAGCTCGGTCTGGTGGCTTCCAGGCAGCCTTAGATGGGTGACAGGTGGCTAAGCTGTTTGAAAACAGGGCCTGGAATAGGAAATACGCAGCCCTGGGGGTGGGGAAGCGCACGCTGTACTCCCATTGTCATTTTATGGTGGTGAATCCATCTTCTTAGCCTCAGGTCCCTTCGTGTGTGTTTGGAATTGTGGTTTACAGCTAGTTTTGAGTGGAAAGCTGTTAAAGGGTCCCCAGGCACCCTTTTATTACCCCCCATGTTTAGCGGGTTTTCTGGGGGGCAAAATCAGCAAGTTCTCGCCTGTTGCTGTGACTAAGATACTGTTAGGACACAGCAGCCCTGACACCGAGCGCTTTAGCTCCCGGCGTGTGCAGGCTGTCTGTGCTGCCACAACCTCCCAGGACAGAGCAGACCTTTGTGGTGCCGCCCAGGTCAGTAAGGGAGTGGAGCTCTCCCATGCCTGCCTTTAAACCCAGCTCACTGCTGGATCTGGAAATGCTTCTTTTGTTCAGGAGCCCTGCTTTTGAATTTTGACTTTCCATTACGTGTTTCTGCTGTTGCCAAATTTTTAGAGCAGAAGGGTCACTCAAAGCAGGAATTTAAAACTATCTTAATTGAAAAATCACCAGGTGTGTTCTAAACAGATCCTCCGGAAATGGTCTTTAAACTGTCACAGCTCCATCTTAGATTTATTAAATTCAAATTTGTGTCTGTGCTTATTTATTAGTCTCCTTTAGGGCAGCTTCTAGGACAATTTTGAAGTTATTTTGTGATGCTAAGTGCAGGGGCACGCTTTCTCTTCGGCCTGTGCTAAGACCTCGGCTTACAGGCCACAGCTGAAATAAGGAGCACAGCAGACCTTAGAAAGGCTGGTGTTTCTTCTGTCTTGAGATGCAAGTATCTTTCAAAGTTACGTTTCCCAAGGAATCAAAGTCAGGGGAGGAATTAATTGAATGTAGCACAGATTTCTGTCCTGTTTGCTGTTCCGTTTATGTAAGTTTCTGACACTTGGGGAGACCTGACTCCATGTGTTCTCCCCGCTCTCCAACCTTTTTTTCCCTCTTCACAAACAACTCCCAGGCTCATGGGTGGAGAAAGGGACAAACAGTGGCTGGTAGTTACCTTATTTTGCACTTAATTATTACTCTTTTTTTCTTTGGATGTAGGCCTGTAAAAGAGGAAATTCGGACATTGTCCGACTTGTAATTGAATGTGGAGCCGACTGCAATATTTTGTCAAAGCACCAAAATAGTGCGATGCATTTTGCAAAGCAGTGCAACAACGGGTTGGTGTACGACTTGCTGAAGAATCATTTAGACACGTAAGTGTGACGTGAACGTGCCATGGTTAACACACATCAAAACTGGAATGGCCTGAATATAATTGCTCAGAGAGAGATTGGCAAGTATAGGTCCTGACAGGCTTCTATTCTCAAAAGATCTTAAATTTAATGGCATGTGAATTGTTTCCTACAAGTTATGGAGGTCTTAGAAATTCCCAAACTTAACACTATCTTATCTAGAAGTAGCCTTAAAATATTAATTATGCTCTTAACTGGCTCACATTTTCTTAAAACCATTTAAAATTTATTCTATTCTTCTTTTAATAGACAATTTTTTAGAGCACTTTTAGGTTCCCAGTGACAGGGTAGAAAGTAGAGATTTTCTATTGGGTTGTCAGAAAAGTCATCCCCACTATCACCATCCCTACGAGAATAGTGCAGTTAACAAACCCATGTGGGCAGTTATCCAAAGTCCGTAGTTTTGTTAGGATTCACCTTGCTGTTGTACCTTCTTGTGGGTTTGGACAAATGTATAATGACTCGCACCCATCTTTACTGCGTCATAGTAGTTTTGCTGCCCAGACAATCCTGTGCTCTGCCTATTCATCCCTCCCTCCTAAACCCTGGTGACCCCCCGATCTTTTTACTGTCTCCATATCTCACCTTTTCAAGGATGTCATAGAGTTGCAACACAGTATGTAACCTTTTTATATTGGCTTCTTTTACTTACTGATACTGCATTTAAGGGTCCTCCATATCTTTTCATGGCGATAGCTCATTTCCTTTTAGTGCCAAATAATCATCCCATGGTCTGGATGCATCAGTTTATCAATTCAAGTTCCTTCTTTTTCAAATGACTTCTAAATCATTTTATTTTTAAAGATTTTATTGGGGAATTGGGGAAGGGGAACAGCCAAGTTGTTGTCCTTCAGTCTTAGTTGTGGAGGGCGCAGCTACCTCAGTTCCAAGTCCAGTCACCATCGGGCCGCCCATCAGCAGCTCGCGGCCTCTCAGCTCAAGGTGCTGTAACTCAGTAGCATAATGTCAATTCAGAATTCTTTAGGCCACACGTAACAAATGTCATAACAAGTACAGTGTATATTCACGTAACGGCAGGCAGCCTTGGGCTGGAATGGCCACTGTCCCCTCTCCATCATCCAGCACACTTAAGAGTATGACTTGGATCTTCATACCTGCAAGACGGTATGATTCCAGGTGTAGAATCTATGTCCTGAGCACAAAGTAAGGTAAATTTAGGGCAAGAGACAAAGAAGGCCAAGGCCAAAGCGAGGGCACATGCTCTATGACCCCCGTCATTTCTGCAGGCAACTCTGACCAGCACCTGACTGGCAGGGCCCCCAGGAAGCTGGCTCGTCTCAGTCTGCTCCATGGTAATAGTTACAGTCTGCAGTAGAGCTGTCAGCCTTCCTGGTTTGCATGCAATGGAGGGGGTCCTGGGATGCTGGACTTCCTTTTAAAACTGACTAAAGGGTTATCTGGGACTTTGGACTTAATGTCCTCATTAAGACTAGAATAGCCTATATCCTGGGCAAAGCAGATGAGATAGTTTGAAAATATTTTTCGAATTAATACTAATCATTTTAATTGCTTCTTAAACTAAGCACTGTAACAAGATGTTTGGCAATTCTTGAATTTTTGGATAGAATTCTCATCACTGGTCCTCCAAATTGGTCATCATTAGACAGGTTATGTATTGAGCACTGTCTGTGTGCCAGGCAGTGTCAAGACGGCTGGGGAGGTGAGAGAGCAGAAGGAGAGACTGGCCTCTGGACACCACATTCCCGGGAGAGGATGTGGACAATACGTACCATGTCAGAAGCCAAGAGCAGGAAGCAGGATGTGATCTGGGAAGGCCTCATGGCTACTGAATAGTTTAATCATTGTATGGCTCATGGCTCTTTTTTACATTAACAATTCTTACTACATACTTCTGAGCAGACTCTCTAGAGTAGCAGAAGAAACCATAAAGGATTACTTTGAAGCACGTCTTGCTCTCCTAGAACCGGTTTTCCCGATAGCATGTCACCGTCTCTGTGAGGGGCCAGATTTTTCAATGGATTTCAATTACAAACCACCACAGAATATACCAGAAGGTAAGCCTGTGTGTTCTGTTTTAGAAATATGACACTATAACTGATTATTTTAGAACTCTTTCTTTGAACAAACCTTAAGAAAATTCCATTATGTATAATTATGTAAAATAACAGCAGAGCTACTCTGGCAGAAAAAAAAGAGACCCTGCTGATACCCACCATCCCAGGTGACTGAGGGGTCCACAGAGCATGGTGTTAGCATTTATTAAATAAGTATGAAAGCTAGGCCTTAATAATTAATTATACTAATTTTTATTTAACTGAATTTTATTTAAATTGACCTTCAAGATTCTAAGTCCAAAATCAATGTTTTTCCTCAATTTTATTATTGCTAAGTCTTGCCCCTTTAATAAGTTTAGTAGCAAGAGATGGAAGTGTCAGTTCTGCTTCCTGGCCTCTGCTTAACAAAAGCAGGACAATGGCCCATGCCACGTCTTCTCTAGGACATGGATGTTACACATAGGAGGTGGGGGTAAGCTTGGCTTTGGCTTCTGTTTTTTAAAAAAAAAACCTCCTTTAAAAAAAACAAGTGTATTGAAGAACATATAACCCTACCAATTAATGACAGCCATTCATAACACCTTAGTATTTTGTGAACTTGTCATTGAAGTATCATACTTTGTAATTTTGACTATTCAAGTGGATAGTTTACATTGTAATGCTGGAGAGCAAACTACTGGGTCAAGCTTTAAACAGCTCAACGGGACAGGTATGGGGAGCCAAGGGCCCTGGGTGTCCCTTTTCCCTGGGCCCAGAACTAACAAACCAAATGATTCTTTGGGGTCTTTTATAAAAAGTCTCTTGTTTATAACTGGCCTGGATCAATATTTTATCATGTTAAAAATAGTTTACCATAAAAGTCATAGAGATAATTTTCCTATATTATTAAAACTACTTTTTTTTCTTCTTAAAAAAAAAACAAAAACGAATGTTGCAGAATATTTGGATACTCAGGAAAAGCTTCCAATGTCATGCTAACTTATTTTTTTAATCATGATTTTTTACCTATTAATCAGAAAATTTGGAAAAGGGCAAAACAGGATATGGAAGAAAATGGAAAATCACTCAAACCTAAACATGACCACCATAGAAATGTCTAATGGTTTGTTTCCATGGACATTTTTATGCATTCAGTAGCAGCTTTTAAATATCCTCTTTGTAAAACCTAAAATATTCTGTGAACTATCAGTAGGGACTACCTTGGACAAAAAATAAAAAGGGTTGTTGTGGTTTGAAAAATGCTCAGTAATAGCACCAAGTTGGACATTGGAGGGCTCCTTGACTGGAGGTGTGAGTGGCCCCTGCATGGCTCAGAGTCACTTCCAACCTGTGTTGCTGTTCCTCCCCCGGGGGCGGGGCCAGATGGGTGTTAACACCTGTGTTTACATCTCCCCTACTCAGGCTGTGGTGTCCTGCTGTTTATTTTCCACGCAAACTTTCTGGGTAAAGACGTTATTGCTCGACTCTGTGGACCATGTAGTGTACAAGCTGTAGTTTTAAACGATAAATTTCAACTTCCTGTTTTTCTGGTAAGATTTTCTGTAGTTCATTACTGAAAAGTAGATTTTTCTAATCAAAAGCACAGGTGACTTTAACAATTATAATTCTGTAAACCATTTGTTGGAAATGAGTCAATAACCAGTAATCATAAAGTAAAATTATCCTAAATTTTGTCAAGAATCTTTCTAAATGTTTGTTATTTCAGCCTTACATTATGTTTCCCATGTCTTAGAAATGGTATAGGAAACATACCAATTTTAAATATGATGCCCTTTCCCATCATTATAATTACAAATGTTCACTTAAAGGAAACTGAAAAAGGAAGAAAAGTATACCTGTTTATACCTTCTCATGCTTCAAATACCCCAGTACAACCACTGTATAATATTGGTTATATTTATACTTAGTTTGAATGCTTAATTTTAGGTTATTATGCTATAACTTTCATCTTATAAACATTTAAAAATATATAATTAATCCATTAGTGCCTGTATAAATTCATTTTTAATATAAAAAATGCTCTTGAAGAATCTTTATACATGATTCCTTTGCCACATTTAGACTTCTTAGGCTGAATTAAGCAAAATTGAGCAGTTATGAAGATTTATGAAGATTTCTAATACTCACGCTATATATGGCTAGATACATTCTAATCCCCAAAAATTATCTGGATATTGTTTATTGTGATTCATATCTTTTTAATAAATCAAGGGAAGAGTAAAGAAATCACAGCTTATTTCCTTGTGTGAGTTCAAGTACAAAACTTGTATTTGTCATCATCGCTGTAGTCGTAAAGGTTTCTGATCTCTTAAGATGAAGTTATACTGTTAGATTTGGCCTAGCTGTTTCTAGATGTAGAAGTTGGAAGAAATACTGACAGTTTTTGGTCTCTCTCCCTAGGATAGTCATTTTGTTTACTCGTTCAGCCCTCTTCCAGGCCTCAACAAACTCTTTATAAGGTTGACGGAAGCACCCTCTGCCAAGGTGAACATCCTCTCCTCATATTCAGTGTTCCTACTCAGATTGTTACTCTAGGTTACTTTATTGTCATTAGACAAAACTTCCAAGAACGTTGTGTTCCTGATCCTGTCCTAGAGACATGTGCTCCCAGGGTGGAGTGCTAGGTGCACCTGCCTAAACGTCAGATGTGTCTCACGTAATACCTATCGTACCTAGTAGTCTGGGCTGTGTTCCAGGCTTTGGTAGTGGATTGCCATCTGTGTGTCTCTGGGCAGGTCACTAACCTCTCTTTGTATTATGAAGCACTTGGATTTTTTTATTAAAACCACCACCTCAATAAATTGATAACCAATCTGACAATATTACAAACCAGTCTTGGCATGTGTGTTCTCCCCGCTTCTAAAAAAGGGGAGCCACCTCTGTGCTTATACATGTGCGTTTTCTCTCCCTGTAGGTTAAGTTGTTGATAGGTGCATACAGAGTGCAGCTGCAGTGACCAAACAAAGACTTCGGACGGACATGGACTTACTGCCAGACCTTTCTAACTCCTGTTCTAAGCAGTGGAGAATGGTGGCACAGCCAACACTTCCACATGTAAAGTCTAGTCTGTAACCTCATACAGTTTAAGGCCTGTCTGTTCTTGGACATGGGCCATGGCATTCTAATACATTACAGAGAGCGTGCTCAAGTCCCGGGGTTGTGTCCAGTTTTTTCCACAATGTGGAATGGTGCATATGGGGATAATTTAAGAAAAGGGAAGTCATTTTTCCTTTTAATTTTCTATTAGAGCCTTGAAGTGTGAGGGGGAGATCAGATCCATTTCTGATATGCGGTTGGTGGTGACAACTTTGTAGATTTCCAATTATGCTTTATTTGAAAAGATGATAAATCAGAGTCTTAAGATATAGCAACCAGGACATTATAAGGCCAAAAAGGGAATTATTACATGGAAACTTTTCTCCTTATTCAAAGCCAGGTCCTGGGCCCTTATTTTGAACACTGGGAAGGGCAGTGAGCTTTGCCACACCAGGCCTCATGGGAAGAGTCAGAGCTCCTGTCGATTTTCCACAGGTCTAACTAATAATAAATCAAGCTTAGTCTAGATTATGGAAATATATAAAAATTTAGTTCCTGATTAGTTTTATAATTGTCTGAGTTATAATTTTCATGAAAAATTTTCAGAATGTCAAACATTGTGATGACATTTCAGAGAGCAATTTTTAACTACATACTACAACTGCCTTTTCCTACAGTTTTCTCAATAAAACAATACCTTGGTCCTTCTATTTTCTTTGTATCTCAAGTCTCAGGACTTCAGTTTTTTAGCAGAGTGATGGCTGGGATTGGAGTCTTTCAACTATATTGAACTGTATGCTAGTACTGTATCTCATTTCATAGCTTTTTAAAAAAGATGAGATTTGATTTAGCAACATTACATAGATCAGGAAGGAACATCTGTACCTTAGTTCAATACATGAAAGACAATTTATCTCAAAATCTTGCCTAATAACTTATAAGAAATACTAAACAAGGATATGCTATTCATCAAGGAGGCATGGCACTCTAGGGTAGAACGTCCAAACACCATTAAAGCGTGAGGTAACTTGGAATACACCACCCTGTCATATGCCAGATGTGCTAGGACATTCTGTGAGCAGTGTGTCTACTAGGAAGAGAACGAGAACCACACAATACCATATGGGTGTTCTCCTCTAAACTAGCTCCTTTATAGCAGGTGAGACGCACACTTGTCCTTGAGTACTGGGGAATATGGAAAATTTTGGTTTCTTACATGTACAAAGTGTGAGCAATGATTTCTCTGGAAAACAAATCAATTGTACACAGACCTTACCACACGGTGTACACATGTGCTCAGGACTACAGATCAAAACAAAGGAACCTCCTCGTGTGGTCAAAGTGTGTGTGACACACAACACATACCTGAACTGCTCGTCTCAGCCATGGCAACCTCAGGACTCAGCAGGTCATCACAAACAGGATGCAAACTCCCTGAAAACCAGTAAGCACATAGCGTTTTACTTCAATTTTACCTTAGGGAATAACAACAAAAAAAAACCTCAGCCATTACTCCTGTCTAGTGTATACTGATATAAGGACATGTAATTGGGGTATTAAATTAATTTACTAACTTCACCATCCAGACCTGGTCTACTCAGGCACATTACACATTCTTTTACCTGCAACACCTAGTGCCAAAGAGAAGTACCTAATAGCACTCCTTAAATGTTGAACAAAATTAGATGGTGAGTTTGACTTTGGTCCAAGAATGTGAAATTAGTCCATTTCATACACTATCTTCTCAAGTCACTGCCATCTGAACTCTTAAATTTGTAGAATTTATTCAATGGAATGTCATGAGGGTACAATCTGAAACTCAGGTGCTGCTTTTAGAATTCTACTCAACTTTCAGTTACCTGAGCATAAAACTGGGAGAAAGGAAAAGTACACGGAGGCTGGATGGCGAAGAGCAGGCACTGATGAAATGACAACTTGGATGTCACAGCATAATACTGTGTAAACCCTAAAATTAAAGTATAAAAATTTTACATTCTGCTCAGTTCTGAAGATGGCTGATGGAAAGAATCCACACTGCTGCCTTCTACATCCTGTGCTGACTCGCAGATAATGCTCCTTTCCCACCGAATCTGGTATCTAGGCCTGACTTGTCCGCCCGCATACCCAGAACCTTACTAGTAAGCTGGAAAGTTTAGTGACAGTGAGGGGTCACAATTCAATCAGGGCCAAATCAAAACAAAATCGGGAAATAGTCATCTGTCTGTCGCCCTGAGCTCCCAGTTGGAATCGAAACCTAGTATTTGGCATCAGTTCAATTTGGGAGAAAATAATTTCCATTACTCCATGACATAATCTCTGTGTGTCTTACTCATAGCGCCCATTATTTGCCTCCCTTGGGCCAAGTTACATGCTTTAGTGAAAATATGATTTTCTCAGAACAATGCCCCATTTCCTGAGTAGTTCCTCATCTTGGGGACTGACCCAAAATCCCAGGCTCTAGTGTTTCCCATTTGCAGTGAGCTGAAAGGGGGGTCATTCTGTATTTGTGGGCTGCTACTACAAAAATACTCAAGGAGTAGGTATACACCTTTATAACAAAACCTGTATGAAAATGTAAAGTTTGCACTATTCCAAATGTCATTTTAATCATAGAAAATTGTGGTCATGAGGCCTAACTGTTTAAATGTCAAATGTTATTGCTTGTACATTGTTTATACGGTGTAATAAACTCACAAATGAAACACAATTTGTTTTCTGGCTTCTTTCTCCTGTGTAATTACAAGCATTTCATTATACGGAAAATAAGCTGGGCTACAGTCAAAAAATATTCAAGAACCAGGGCCAGCGGAGTGGCGCATTGGTTAAGAGCTGGCTTGGGACGCCAGAGGGCCCCAGTTCGGATCCCACATATGAGGGCCAGTGACACTGCCCTCTACAGCTAAGATGCTGAACAACAGCTCAACCTGGAGCTGGGCTGCTGTGAGTCGCTGGCGACGGTGTAAGCTGCAGCCCCTGCTGCAGTGGGTTTCCATGGGCTACCATGTGTAGCCAGCAGCCAGCGTGAGCGGCCGTCCAGAAGCCGGTGACTGATCTGCCTGGCCTGGGAAGAGCGCAATGATGGTGCCAACTTGGGCCAGTAAAGTAATGTCCTCCACAACTAGACTGAAGAACAAAAAATGACAGCAACTTGTCTGTTCCCCTTCCCCCAATTCCCAAGCACTGTTCCCATCCCCCAATTCCCCAATAAAAATCTTTAAAAAAAAAAAAAGTAATATTTTTTCCTTCAGTAAATAAGACATTTAATGTCATTTCTATTCTTAGTCCCCTTTCACATACAGACAAATTTATAGACATATTACCACCAGTGAGGAAAGATGAGAGCAATTTGGAGCTAAAAACATCGCCCAGCTTTGCATGGAGAAAAGGTCAGAGACCCTGGGGACCCAGTAGACAACAGGCAGACAACTAGTGGTTCCACTTCGCACCATAAACTACACACTGACGTTCTGTAACTCAGATCAGGTACCATTACAAATGTCCACTGAGACAACAGTCCACATCAGGAAGAATGACCAAAACTAGGAAGGACCTACCTGGAAGGAGAGAGGACTGCAGCTCTTCTTGTCCCAAAACTTCCGATTCCTGATGGAAGTCGAATTTCAGGTAGCTTCACCCATGTGTTCTTTTATCCTAGTATACAATAAAATCAGATTTAGCCTTTTATAACCCAGTTTAAACAATCAACATTTTTAAAGTGCTAACTCATTTCTTAAAGTTCTTAACAGTAATCAGTTTCCATTAAGATGCCACTTAGTTGTTACCTCATTTATTTCAGTAAGATTTTTTTTTTAATTCATTTACTCAAAGAACAAATTTAAAATTCAGCTCAATTTTATGTTTTGGCATTAAACACTGTTAAATCCGCAACTAAATCTTGAAGTACGCTAATAATTTTTAAATAGTCTATTTTGCTAAATCCTTTTTTTATTTCCATAGGTAAGGTCCTCCTGAAAGCTTGGAACCTTATAATAAAAAAATCCTACCCAGAATCCTGATTCCTACTATATTTACAAAATTTTATTCTGCTTGACCCAAGGCAGGATACACAATCTGCTGGGCTCCATCAGAAAATTCTCTTACCTACTCTTAACACCTTGGGTCAACGTTCTCCAGAGAGCGTGCACCCCAGATGTTTTATTGAAGTACAGGTTTATGTTATCTCATCCTTATCAAATGTGTCTTATAAAGTACCTGAAATATCGGTACAGTAGTATACAATTAAAACAACAGATTTCTGTTCAATTCCCTTTATTAGGGGTATGTGACCCCAAAACACTGAATTAATTACCCCAGACTAGTATTTTCAAAACCCATTTGAGTCTCAAAGTGACCTGAAATTGGATAAAATATGAACAACCCCCCCAAAAAATATGCATGCAAAAAATGTGTATATAAAATTCTGTATGTAATTTAAGGGGATACATAGATTACCCTAATGCACCTCTATAATACAACAGGATCTATGGCTCCAGTTATAAAACCTTCAATATTTTTTTCAAAAAAGGCACTGTCAAATTTTCTTTTACATAGTTCCACCTCCAACGAGCATTTCAGTGCATGTGATACTTGTTAGGTATTTGCTCCTAAAGTCATTACTATTCTTAGGTTGGTTTTATAAAATTCGTACTTCTACATATATTGCCTTTAGTCAAGTTAAGGTTCACAAGACTAAATGGAACCACAAACCAAACTGAGTGGATTACTTCATTCTTCATGATACAATGATACCAGAACTAAAACTTTTAATTAACTTTTCAAGAAAGTGAATGTATAATTTACAAAGCATTAAATATACTGAATTCTAAAATGGTAATCTCTGGAATTGGGCCAAGTTCTAGCTTTTAGCCTTTAAAATGGTGGATCATCTTAATAGTTGCATTCAATATTTAGAGACAATCACCAGTTCTGTGACCAGGTGTACTGTACACTGGAGCATAAACAACACTTATAAAACAATTACAGTGAACTGCATACGGACATCCACTCAATGACACTAGTAATTTGGATTTCAAAATCTGAAAGCCTAGAAGGTTCATACACAAAGGACTTTTAATATTTCTGATCCTGAAAAATAGCTCTACCAGTGATACTGGCAAATAAAAAAATTTTTAAAACCCAACTAATAATTGCATTAAAGGGTCTCTCAACTGAAATCTTAAAGCATAACTGTAACACCACGCTGGACAAAAGTCTGTTTTTAATTAATTTTAGGATATAACTGGGTCAATAAGAACCACGAGCAAGTCTGTTGAATTTAACCCTCCTATGCCAAAAACATCTGAATTGTAAGGAGTGAAAGGGCTTCTGTAACCACACCCTAAGACTTCTCATAGTCAGAAATGTAAACAGCAAATACCACATATACTTTTCTGGTGACTTTTCTTAAGGAATAAAACATTGAAGATAGGGCCTGCCAAGTGGCGCATTGGTTAAGAGCTGGCTTGGGACACCAGAGGGCCCCGGTTCGGATCCCACATATGAACGCCAGTGACACTTGCCCTCTACAGCTAAGATGCTGAACAACAGCTCAACCTGGAGCTGGGCTGCTGTGAGTTTCCATGGGCTACCGTGTGTAGCCAGCAGCCAGGTGAGCGGCCGTCCAGAAGCCGGCGACTGATCTGCCTCGCCCGGGAAGAGCGCAATGATGGTGCCAGCTTGGGCCAGTGAAGCAAC